ATTTAATATTTAATGTTTAATTAACTTAAGTGATATCTGTCTTTACTATTCTAATGTAGCACAAATCCTATGTAAAATCATACTACATATTTTTGACATTAATATTGAAATCTAAAATATATACAGAAAGTCTTTATATATTTACTCTGGGGATCCCCTGCAGTAAGGGCCCAATTTTCAGTAGTCATGGAAGAAACTATATCATGAACTACTGTCATATAGAATCATTGAGTTGGAAGAGACCTCGTGAGCCATCCAGTCCAACCCCCTGCCAAGAACCAGGAAAATCGCATTCAAAGCATATTATCTTACATATCTGTCATTGCAACAATGATATATAAAAAACACAACATCTGGGAACTTCTATATTACTCCTTACCTTCCAACTTAGAAGGTTCCTTCAGAAGTTTATCTTTCTGTACTTTCTCGTGGCTCTTTATTTCAGGAAAACGTGTTTGCAAAGATTTATTTCAGATGTGGTTTTGTTTTGTTTTGTTTTGGCCAGGCAATGCTGCTTCTAAGCTCACTGGACTATACAACATCTGCTATTCAATCAAACAATGTAATTTCCAACTGCTAGGTGGACTGAGGTGTGGTGTGGTTTTTGGACTACTATGTGGACATTTGGGAGCTTAGAATATAGAATTCCCATAGGGCCTGAATCTAGTCTTTAGATCAGTCTAAGCCTAAATAAGAATGACCTTGACTTTTACTGCTTCAAGAACTAAAGGGTATTCTCATTAGATTTGCTTAGTTTCGTGTCACTGATTTCCTCACACACACTAAATCAAACAATCACTCAGCAACACAAAGTTGAACAAGTATATATTATGGGGAAGTAGTTCTCCCAACCCATAAATAAATAAACAAACAAACAAAATATTTTCTACTTTGGGAAATAAAAAAAATGTTGCTGTTATTCCTCTGCTTTAAAAATGCAGTCCAGCTTCATCTGTGCATTTACTGGCTCCAAGGTCCAAGATGCTGGAGTAAACAGAAGGTTATACTGACAGGTGGGAAAAAGAAGTTGCACATTGAATTTTGATAACAAGGTTTTTGGACCATCAATGTCCAAATAATGAATCTTCTGCTTTAGCTGGCATATGCTCAGTTATCTGTTTGACAAACCAGAGAAGGTGAAGAATTGGGTAGTCAATTAAGTTTGTTTTTCTGTAAAAATACATACAATATATAAAATAGTTATCCAGCCCCACTTCATGTGTTTGTGGGGGTGGGGGTTAATTAGAAATACACAGAGCAAGATGGAAGTGGAAGAAAAAGGTTGGCAGACCCTTTGCTTTACTGGCCTGGCAGCTGCGGCAATAACAATTGGAGTCGAACTAAGGGCCATCTGATGCTTTGATTTGCCTGCACAACCTGCATCATTGTCAGTGGAAGCATCACAAAGCGACTCAGGGCACATTGTAGCAATGGATCTTCATTTGATACACGTACACTACTGCACCGTCTAAATCAGACTGGCAGAACATAAGACGCTTTATATGCATTTTTTGTGCTTTGTGGCACAATGCACATGGAATTTTAATCAGCATCCAAAAAGAAGCCCCCGAAAGGGAGGGTTCTGAACAGTGCACTAAAACCGCAAGTAACACAATACGTTAAAGCATATAGAACTAAACATCCTGCATCATGACCATCATGCTTTAGTTTGGCAAATTAACATGTGACTCCATGTCTCTTTTCATGACATTCTTGAACAATCAATACAGTTGTGACATCAGTTTAGTTTGGTACTACCAAAATGAAAGTTAAAAAAGGAACAAATAGCTGGGGTGGGGGACTGCCAAACCTATTTGGCATTATAAATCATATTCAATATGACTTAATATTTGGAGGCAAACATTAAAGGGGAAGAAATGTTAGTATATATTTATTGGAGGGATGGCAAGCATATGGGAGACGTCCACTGTGGGTTTTAGTCCTCTGAAATGAAAGAGATTTGTGACAGGCAGACAGCTAGATGCACTGCAAAAGAAGAGAGAGGGAGCATAGGCATCCCCCAGAGCTGGATATCTTCATAAAGATCTCCCCTTGACTACAGTAGCAACACTGAAAATATCTACAGTCACGATATTGAAAGAAAACCTGATTATTTATTTATAGGGTTTTCCCACCCTAATTAGAGTTTTTCTACTCAACTCACTATGATGGCTGATTTAAGAGAAGACAAAGATGAAGGTAACCTAAGGGGATAGGAAATTGCTAAGCAGTCTTACCCAGCTGCAGAAGCAAAAATCAAATAAAAATGGAAGGAGAAAAAAAACCCATCCACACACAGATCATCCAAAATCAGAAGGGCACAATGTATGTGAAAACAACACTGATCAGAAAAAAATGGAAGATAAATCCATTTTGATTTTAATCAAAACAGTGTTATATATTTTTCCTCACACAGCTCCATTCCCATGTTAACTCCTTTTGTTTCAGTAAGAAACACAGGTCTTACTTCTATGTGTAACCATGCATATTATATACAGAGAGATTAAAATGAACAGTGCTGTCAGGTTTGAGACTTATGCCACTCATGCTGTTAGGCAGGAAATGGGTGTGGGTGCTTTATTCTCCTCCCCAAAACAGATTTTTTTTTTAAAAAAATCACTGAAAACATTCATTTCTAAGAGATTTATTTATTTGTTATGAGCAGCTGCACCATACATTAAATGAGATTTCTTTGCGGGGACAGGCTGGAGCATCCTGAGGTTTTGTAATATTCAGTAAAATGTTCAATAACGGTTGCCAATGAAATCAGCCTCGTGATGTAACACGGGAATGACATGCCACTCCTTTTACTTATTATGACTTGGTCTCTCTCCCTCTCTCTCTCTCCACACACATACACATACACAGAAACATAAATATATATGCACTTTATCCATCAGCCCTATCATTATAATTGATTTGCATCAATCCACCCATCAGTGCTCAGAAACTGATCATTGGTTGTAGGTTTGATGTTTGCTTTTTAGTTTGTTATAATGTTGTATTTATTTTGTTTTATGCTGTTGTTTATGTATTTTAATGTGTTATATTTTTAATTATGTTGTTTGGGCATGTCCCCATGTAAGCTACCCCAGGTCCTTTCTGGGAGAGGGGAGGCAGGTACAAAAACATTCAAGTTTCATCCCTGGCCAAGGGCACATTAATAAAAACTCTTAGCTTTTCTCACTTTCAAGCAGTAATGATTTATTGAAATTGTTTATGAATTTCAGCTGACACAAAGCAGTAATCGAAGCAGTTAATTTATTTAATCACAACAAAGGTGGCACCAACCTGCTCTTGTTTTCAGAGTGGAACCACTTCACCTTTCCTTCCTTTCTTTGTGCAAAATTACTGTCTTAATATCCACAGATGCTCATAATATTGTTTCTTAATAGAATCACATAAGGCAAATTAATCGAATGGCCTGCCTCTTCCAACATATTTTAAAATATGCATCTAAAATGTATTGAGATAAAGCCTTTTTAAAGATATTACTTAGAAACAGTGACAGAAGCCTTGCTAAAAAAAAGCAACATGCTTACATATTCATTTAAGGTGCAAAAGTTATAGATAGATGATAGATAGATAGATAGATAGATAGATAGATAGATAGATAGATAGTGATAGATATATCTATATAATATGTCCTCACACTGCCTGAAACCGAAGCAAGATCACATGGACATGCAAAACTGAAAACAGTAAAAAGCAACTCAGAAGTGGAATTATGTCACTCCAAGCACATTGATAACAACTGTCTAGAAAATAGAGTGAGACTCATGACTCACAAATGTACCATCAATACTGTATATATTTTCAGTAAAAGGTGATGCCAACAAATGGAGGTTGCTGATTTAATGGAGCTGAGTGAATGAGAGTCTTTTTCACTTTTACAATTTCTGTAAATATACTCTTGACAACATTGTTTTCTGGCTGCTGCCCCCCTCCCCCCCCTCCCCGAGATAAAGGGAAAGAGAGAGAGAGAGAGACCAAGAGAAAGGAAGAAGTGAAATATAAAAATAAAATAAGCTGTTTTTTTATCAAGTCACATTCTGCATCCATCGAACTTAGTACTGTCTTCTCTGACTAGCAGTGGTCTTCAAAGGCCAAGATCTTTCATATCACACCCTTCATAATGTTTTCAACTAGAGTTCTCAGGGAGCAAAACTAGGACAAAAGATGCAATCATATATTTTTTTACAAAAGGAAAAAAACCCTATAAACATGAACAAGGGGATATTCTGGTCAGAGGGAAAGTGTGTCCAGAGGCATCCCACTGTCCATTTCAACCTTACAACTAGCACAGAATCTGTTTCTGATAATCAATGTCAACTATTTTCAGCACCAAAATTTAAAAGCAGCATAGAGAAAAAAAATAAAGTATGTTTTATAATAACCCAATCTATTCCTGTCTTTCACACACATCAAACACACTTCTCTGAGAGAAAACAAATATAAATTAATAGCATAAATGGCCACAAGTTATTACAATTTTCAAAATAATTTCTGTGATGACTATTCAGAGGCATTGCAGATGACTGACTGCTGAACAAATTCTGTCATTTATTTACATCTATTGTTTCAGTAGCTCAAGTTAAACACCAAACAAAAATTCAATTCTAAATTTGGAAGATGTGCTAAGTGGGTCTATTAATATTTTTTGTTCCTCACTGGTTATTTTACTTATCTGAGAAGAAGCTGGCTTATGGCTGAAAAGCCTTTTGACTCAATCATTTAGATTCCCATGTAAAAGCTTTGGGGGGAAATGGTACTTCCTATGTGGAATAACATTTGATAGTCTTCTAGATGGCATCAACTCCAGGCAAAACAAGTCCATGACAATTGTGAGTAGTTTTCACCAGCATCTCCTTAAAGAACAATTCCATCCTAATCAAATAATTTTAGAAAGTCATAAACAAAAATAACAAAATGCAGTCTCAAACAAGGTAAAAAGTATAGAGAAAAATTATACACACACACACACATGCACACATTTTTACCTGCTTGATTAGTTGTCACCGTGACAGAAACAGCCTGGTCTGGGCTCGGATTCTGCTTGGAAACTCCATTCACTGCCCATATTTCAAAGGTGTAGTTGGTGTGAGCCAAAAGGTCAGTAATGGAAACTCTGGTGGTTTTCAATCCATTCTGCTGTGGGCTGAAGTGTACACCACTGCCACAGGACCGACAACGGTTCAGGTCACTGGCCCCACATCTTTTGCACACGACATTGTAGGAAATATCCTCACGGCCACCTCTGTTCTGAGGAGGGCTCCATTCCAAGTTTACTGATGTTTCATTGACGTTGGATATCAGATTCTCAGGGGCAGATGGAGGGCCTAAAAACAAAAACATATTGTCTTAATCTTGACAATGAAAAGCAGGAAGCCTTCTAGGGGAATATCTATACTGATTATTATCATATGATCTGTTGTATTTAACACATCTACAACTGGAGCAAGCAACCTGAAGTGCTCCAGATGTTTTTAACTATAGGTACCACAATAAAGATGTAAAAAAATATATACTGTTATTCATTTCCCAGTTTAAAACAAAAGACTTTCCCAATAGTCAAATAACTTGGTTGGGAGGAACAGTGTCAGTGGTGGGGATTTTGTGATTTTCACTTAGTTCTGAAGTTTATTGTGACATCCTTTTCTACAGAAATACATGTTAATCCTGTGTAAACAAACTCTACATTCTTTTTTTATCAAACAAACAAACAGCGACTGTCATCCATCAGATTGATGACCGAGTAATTATTTGGCATTCCTATTTTTATTTGTGGCAACAATTACAAATGTGCCTCTGATTGCCCAAACCCATTTTAAAAACCAGACAGCCATACCAATCCAGTGCCAGAAAAATATATGTTTCAAAATTTTTCCTAGGCTTTATAAGCAAAATTCTGTTTTAAAGCAGTTCCATCATGGATCTATTTTATATGTTATTGTGGTGCAGGCTTTCTTCCTTCCTCCTCTTAACTGACTTCTGCTTATAATTGACTTATTGTTTTCTTGGTTTGACATCTCCTGTACTTTAGATATTATCTGTGTTTCACATTCACCATCTTAAAGTGATTGAATGATGCCCTGATTTTTTTTCTTCAGGATAAGTTCTAAAATGGTCAACAGAAGCTTAAAACAAGATTTAATCAAAGAAATTATTTTACAAAAAGAAAAATACACATTAAATAATATTATACATTCTGGAAATAAAGAAAATAAAAGAGTAAATTTTGCATAGAGAAAGCTTATATTTACCAAGGTTCTAACTCAGTGTGCCAGGGAGCTCGTTCGTAAGAACATTCAGTATATCTTTACAACACTGCCATAACAGGCATTAATGGTTCTGCATCCCTTTTCAAAGTGTTTCTGCACCAGTTTTGATTTACTTTATGGGATCCATAAGAATTTTAGGTGTTTGAATGGCAATGTGAAGTATGTTGTGACTGGAGTGCATGATATATGTGAATGCATTTGGGTGGAATGGATGGAAATGATAGGCAAATGTGAAAGCAGTGAGTGTTTTATGTCTGGGCACATGCATATATGGGTCCAAGTAAACAGTTGTATTGAGTGATACATATATGCATGCTTATGTAAGCAAGAAAGTCTATGTCTGTGTGGTTTTGTGTTACAAAGCTTTAAATTCCTCAAGGCTAGGATATTAAAGGGCTATGTTTTCTCATATGAACTCATCCAAAATTTGAAACCCTTTATTTATTTGTTCATTTATCTGTTCAATGTGTATACTATGTTTTTGCATAGGATTCACAATGGCATGTAATATCTAAAAAATACAATAAAATTGTGAAAACAACGCTGATCAGAAAAAAATGGAAGGGTGCTCTTAAGAAACTTTAAACTAAGTTTGATGTAAAAAGAAAAATAAAAACAAATTAAAAACACAAGAAAAAAGCAGCATTAAAAAGACTTAAAGCATAATAAAAATAAAATAAACTTTTGTCAAGCAGTCAAGACTTTTTATGCTTTGTATGGTTTCCTCCTAAAATCAGGATTACTAATTGTCTGCATGTTTTCAAATATGTTCTTAAAATAAGAATTTGATTAGTTATGATTTAGGGGCCCTGGTAGGCTAAGAGGTAATACATCTTATATTAAAAAAGAATAATGTAGATCTGTTGTATCTGTGAAAGGAACAGAAGAAGTGTGAAGAGACACACACACACACATGCAGCAGAGGGATATTAAGAAATCAAATATTTGCCCATGACATATGACATTGAAAATATTGTGGATTTTGAGATCTCAAAATTTATATATTTTTGGTCCTCTCGGGGAAATCTGCTTAGAAATCCTAGAGTTCTAAGAAGCAAAATTTTTATTGCTGATATTCCCTGACATTGAACCGACTTTGCCTGAATCTTGCTGATGGACCACAGTCATGCTTGCTTTAACTTTAGATTCTTTCTCAGGTCTGTTAAGAAGCTTTTGATGGAGTTATGCCAGGTTTTACATGGGAAAATATGCCACACTGAATCAAGCTCCTTGGGAACAAAAGTCGGTAATTAGGATGTAGGGCAGAGCATGGAGGTGTCTAAAGAGGGAAGCAATCAAGCAGAAAACAAGCGAAACAGATGCCTGCAGTTGTAGCACCTTCAGCATGAAAAAGAAGGTGTGGAAGTCACCAAATGCTAGTCTGATGTTAAAGCAAAGGGAAAGGCAGAGTGTGCTTTGAAGAGTACAGTCGCTAATAGAGTGCTTGGGATTCTGGCAGGCTGAGGAAGGCAGAAATGGCAAGCATTTTGTGCTCAGCACATGCATATTTAAGAGGGTCCAAAGGCATCTGCTCTGAGAAACTAAAAGGGTCAGCTCTGGTAAGTACTTTTATAGAAGTCTACCACTGTATACCAGATGCTGTAGTCTATATTTTCAAGCAGAAGAAACTGGCAAAATGACACCTTATTTTTCTTGCCTAAGAAAACCCTACTGAATTCATGGTTGTACCATAACAACAACAACAACAACAACAACAACAACAACAACAACAAGTAGTAGTCAACCATTGACTTGAAGACAGAAACATACACACATAGTATTCCCCTCTTCTCACTTAATAATTGCCAGTGCCAAAAAAGCTCACAAAGCAAGAATTACGCTAAATAGAAGAGGATCTAAAAAATTTAAAGTTCTGGCTTTTGCAAAGGTAATCACAATCATCTTGCTTGGCACCATCCCTATTTGTTCATGCAGTGAACTGTGGATTTACTAGACCTTGGCATTTATCTCAGGATAGAAGAGGAAAGATCAGAAAAAAAACAGCTATGACTGGAGAAGGCAAAGGCTGCAGAAACAGTTCTATCACAGTGCTCCTATGTATTAGGAATCACCCAAATCACTGATAAATCATTCTTGAAATTGCTTTACTATGCAGGACAGGCTTATAATATTCCAGTTGCATCCCTTGGCTTCTAGGAATGTCCTAATATTCATGAAAATGTGTCTCTTGGTAAATGTTCCCTTACCATCATTTGCAACTTATGGTATAAGTGATAGAAAGAATTATTTCTGCCAAGTATCCTTTGCCATCAGTCGTAATTGTATTTCTTTTTTGCCTTGTAAATATGAATGTTGATAGAAGATGGCTGCTAAATGTCACATACTTTGGAAATGAAGGTGAAATCATACAACACTGGACCTACAGTAGCCCTAAATTGTTTGATTTTGTGCATAATATGGAGTTGGATTTTTAAGTCAATAATTTGAAATCTAAGTAGAATCTACATGTTTTAGACTTTATTAGTTTGTCCAGGATTCATTTATAAATTTAGTATTTTTCAAAATGTCAATGTTATAAATTGCAATTATTATTATTATTACTATTACTATTATTATTATCATCATCCCACTTCATCTCTCCCAAAGGGCACTCACATTGGTTTAACATAAAAACCTTGGCACACCACTTAAAATATACAAATATGAAAACAGAATGAAATATAAACAGTATTAAAAGATTCACAGTTAAAACCATTCAAACATATTGATGCATATTCAAAACTAAAACGAAAGTACCTCCTGAATTGACCTTAAAAATCTTCATCTTTAAAAGTCTGTCTGAATAGAAAGATATTAGCCTGCAGCCAGAAGAACAGCAGGAAGGCGTGTCATTCTGGCTTCCTTGGGCAGGGAGTTCAGAGTTGCAGGGCAGCCACAGAGAAGGCCCTGTCTCTCATTTCCACCAACTGAGCTTGGGATGGAGATGGGACCAAGAGAAGGGCCTCTCCTGAAGATCTCATGGCCCAGGCAGGCTCATACAAGAGGAACGGTAAGCCAAATAGCTTGGACCTGAACCGTTATCATATATTGTCATAATTCAAACAGCAGCTCCCGGTGGCGCAGTGGGTTAAACCCCTGTGCCGGCAGGACTGAAGACCGACAGGTCACAGGTTCGAATCCGGGGAGAGGCAGATGAGCTCCCTCTATCAGCTCCAGCTCCTCATGCGGGGACATGAGAGAAGCCTCCCACAAGGATGATAAAAACGTCAATTCATCCAGGCATCCCCTGTGCAACATCCTTGCAGATGGCCAATTCTCTCACACCAGAAGCGACTTGCAGTTTTTCAAGTCATAGAATCATAGAATCAAGTCACTTCTGGCACGACAAAGAAAAATCATTCAAACAGGAGATGTTAACCATGCTGGACATCTAGCAATAGTATTTTTAAATTTAAAAGTTATTGTTCAAAACCTCATGATTTGCTCACAAAAATGTGTATTTCTGTGCAGAACAAATTCCCCCAACTACTTCAGAATGTGTGACTATTGGTTTTTTCCCCTGGATATGAGAACAAAATATTGTACAACCTGATGTTAAATAGACATAAGCCAAATATAAATGCCTATGTAAATCATAAATGTACATATGAGAAAATAAATGCAGCCATGCCATAATCTTCTACTAATCATTTTGTAAGAAACTGTTAGTTTTATAAGTAAGCTTATCTAAACAGTCTTGATTCTGGTCAAGATGTGGGTCTTGGAAAGGATTTCTGTACACTGTTTAGGAAATGAAATAAAGCTAAATTAACTTGCTTTTGGTGACATCAATCATACTTCTAATGATATGCCAGGAATACCATGAGAAAGAAGTGAAGCACTGGACTTAGAGAAATTATGAAAACATGGACACTTTTGAAGACTATATTTATATGAATACGATGTTTTTTATTTGAGAATAGGTTAAGATATCTGAAAGTAATAAGAGAAATGTCAATTATTAACAAATAGTGAAGTTATCTTAGGTCAACTGTTCTAGTGTGGGTACTCCTAAGAGAAAATTAGATAGTTGGGCCTAGGGACTGAAAGGTGTTTCA